TACTGAGACCAAGAAGGGTCTCCAGGAGGATTCCACAGCACTTCTCTAATCTGGCACTGCGGCTCTCTACCGGACGGGGCTGCACAATGATCTTCTCTAGAGAATACTTCCTGACAGCCCCTGGGGTGACATCACTCGCTTCTCTCCTGCACGGTGACGTCACTCGCTTCTCTCCTGCACGGTGACCTCACTCGCTTCTCTCCTGCACGGTGACGTCACTCGCTTCTCTCCTGCACGGTGACGTCACTCGCTTCTCTCCTGCACGGTGACCTCACTCGTTTCTCTCCTGCACGGTGACCTCACTCGCTTCTCTCCTGCATGGTGACCTCACTCGCTTCTCTCCTGCACGGTGACGTCACTCGCTTCTCTCCTGCACGGTGACGTCACTCGCTTCTCTCCTGCACGGTGACCTCACTCGCTTCTCTCCTGCACGGTGACCTCACTCGCTTCTCTCCTGCACGGTGACCTCACTCGCTTCTCTCCTGCACGGTGACATCATTCGCTTCTCTCCTGCACGGTGACATCACTCGCTTCTCTCCTGCACGGTGACGTCACTCGCTTCTCTCCTGCACGGTGACATCATTCACTTCTCTCCTGCACGGTGACATCAATCGCTTCTCTCCTGCACGGACACCCTGCTGAGCTGACAAGGCCCGATATGAGAGTACTGCCTGTACCTCCCTGTGGGGGGGTTCAGGCAATAGTGTGCTTCCATAGTGTGCCATTCATGTCATGCTTCTCCAGGCACCCTGGAATGAGGACACCCTTCTGGACAAGCTCTGCCCGTTGTGTCACATGATTACACTAGAATGCATTATCGGGGGCAGCGTGCCGTCTGTTTCATGTTCACAGCTACATTTTAGCAACAAATATCAATAGAAGAAAAATAAGTAAAAAACATATCAAAATGGTAATTCTTGGTGCAGCACCTTCCCACTTGGCTGCCCAAGGCACTGCTATTATAGAACACTCAGCCCTGCACGTCTGTAGCTGCGGATGGAGGTCAAGAAAATGACAGCGATTGATCATTTTAAAACATTGGTGGCAGGGCTGTCCCTATAATGAGGCAGCCTGAGGGGGTTGCCTCAGGCTGCATCTCATTGGTGGGCAGCAGTTATGTGAACCATTAAGAATTTATATGCCAAAAATTATTGGTTAAACCCAGAATTGTTTCATTTCACCATTACTATTCCTTTATATTGACTTTTCAAA